TAAAATTTAAATACGGCATTTCATCATCATCACCACCACCAATGCCCACGTCGTTGATAATGATCAATCCTCATGTTGATACCCGCGCTTTGTGTTGTTCCAGTACTTAATTAAAAATTATAACCTAACATTTAACAACTGTGATGGGGCTGCAAGGAACGTTAATGCGCGAGTGTGTAGGTGGACATCAACATCATTTCAGTATGTTCCATTCCTCCCCGACCTCCCAAAGGTGTGCTAAATATATTTTTTAATATAGCCAATGTTGTTTTTCACAAGGGCCGTCTTACTCGCACCTGGCAAGTAATAAGAGCTGAATAAATACGTGGCACAGGTAGCACGGCCTCCACAATCTTGGATGTTTGTTGGACTTCTTTCACACCATACCTAGCCAACCGTGCTAAATCGGAGGTGCGGGGGAAGGACAACAAACTAAACACACAAAGGCATCCCGTGGCACAGATCATGAGCATATGGATTTTGTCGCTTCCATGAGGAGCGTAACAACAATTCAGTCATCAGTTGAGTAATATACAAGGCTCACGATACATGCATTCAATTGCATGTGTAAGAATCTACGTGTGTTTTTAAGGTATGCAAAGTATATTGAAATTATTTGGCGAGGCGTGGTGGTGCAGTTGCTAGCGAAACGCGCTCTTAAGCTCGACGATCCAAGTTCGATTCCTGGTCATAGTTAACATCAATGGGAAATTACTGACCAGCATCGGGAAGTATGGCCTAAGGAACACTCATGATGGGCAGGGCATGGGCCTCCGTCATTTAGCTTCTGGGGATGACCAAGGCTTCAAATGTTACACTTAAGCTTATGGAATAAACAAAACTTTACAAGTCAAAATACAAATCCAGGGAACTATACAAATGAGACCACAATATTATTATGAGACCACAATAATTAAATCATTCGAATCGTGACAGTTGATCTAATCGCCAAGGGAGTGAATCATCAGACCCCTGATGACTGGCTTAAGCTTTGTACAACCTCATTCCAAGTGCCTGCTTGGCTGTTCTGTTAGCCATGTCTCAACATGAATGCCACTCAACCAGCAATGCAAATGTATCTTTTTTTTTACAAACGCACACCATTGCCTAGACTTGCGGATCGCTAAAGGCTAAGGCGCGTACGTTATAATCCTCGTCACTTGTTTTGTAGGGGCGTACACAAACGCACGCGCGACGCACGCTACGAAAATCCCCGTGTCCGTAACACCGAGGACATTACAAGGTAGAGGGGCACTTAATAAAAAAAAAGAAACGTTTAACAGTTACTCATGTCTCAAGTCTACGGGATTTCCTGTTCAAATGAGAATCGAGGCGGTTCTCATCTCCGGTTCACAGTCCTGAAACGGCGGTGGAAATTCCACATTCCAATGGCGGGGGCGAGTCTCTCAACAGGACAAAGGTGTTAACTACCTCGCCTGGTATGCAGCAGGAGGAGACAGTGGAGTGGGTTCGATTCCGACCCCGACGCCTGTTGTATATTTGGAGTTTGCGTGTCTATCTCGCCGTAGTGTGGACTTTTCTCAGGGTCCTCCCGGTTTTTCCCTCGCCACATTTAGAAACGTGCATTTAGAGTATTTGGCTGCTATACATTTCCACGCGATGATGAGCCACTCTTAGTGGAGCTATCATTCGTGGCCAGGTCGCTTCTGCCAAAAAGAGCTGTCTAGCTCAGTGGGTCTCGCCTGGTAAAATTTTTATTTAAATTTTTTTTACTTAACTTTCGTGATTTCAGGAATTCATATTCTTTGGTTCGTTCGGTAAAGTCACGTAGATAGAAAAATAATAATAAATAAAGTTAATAAAAATTATAAAATATATACTGTAGCCTGGTTCTTAATCGGAGTGAATGTACCGGCAGTCTATAATGTAGACTGTTGCCTGGTTATTAGTAATATCATTTTTATTTTCATTCACTTTATTTATAATTTTTCTGTCTACGTGACTTCACCGAAAGAACCAAAGAATATAAAAATTGTTGTACTTTAATTTTTTGTTCACCCCCTCCCCCAAGTGACATTAATTGTGTTGGCACCAGGAGGGATGATGGTCTCAGTGAACTCTCCCAACGGGCATATGAACTCGCAAACCTTCCGAATGTGCCACTCGCTCTACTGCCGAGCCTCCAGGCACATGTATACTGGCAATCAGAGTGCGGAGTGTTATTACTCGTATGCAATGACACGGCCTCCCATGGATCACGTAACACGTGGAAGGATTACCAAACACACCCTTGCAACTGGGCCGTGTCGCAGAGGCTACAATGACGCGCGTAGCAGAAAATATCAACAAAATATCAACACCACCATTTCCATCTGCAGTGAAAAAAGAGAACACCCCGAGCATTGGGTGTTTTAACTGGGGCCAAAGAAAGCTACGGCACTAAACAACAGGGGGCGGTGGGGGGGCATTGTCAGTCAATGAATGGCACAACAGCGTGGAGCATGAAACGAACCACAGGGCGTACACAAGAGAGGAACATGCACGGAAAATAAATACAGTACCGCATGAGCATATGGACCACGCGAGCACACAACGGCAGGGTGACAAAGATAGACAAACCTCTCTGGAGGATATGCGGAACATCGCAAATGGTGTATCCCTACATGCTCGCGAAGACATCGCGATGCAGAAAAGACGAACACCATGGATGAGACGCGGCAAATATGCAGATTAATGGCATGATTCAAGCGGTTAAGAAACGACATGGCTGTAAGAAGGGCTGATGGTCAAAGATTCATGACGGAGTCGCAGCGAAGGAACGGAACGCGCAGTTTGTGGTGCCTGGGTTCGATGCGTCGCAGGTTCGTGCGAGATGACGATGGCTTAGGGTGGCGTTCATCCAACAGTGGTTTATACCACAGCTGATGATGATACAGCATTAATTGGGATAGTGATGGCGCAGTGGGTAGCACACTGCGGTATAAAGCCAGCTGCCTGAACGTGATTCCAAGCCACGGCTAACATCAGTGGCGAGTCATATCCTAACTGGTGCTGGTCGTCTCACTCCATCCTCCCTCCCCCGCAATTACTAACCCATACCGACCTGCGTGCCGAATGAAGCAAGGTCCTACAACCCACATGGCCAACAAGGTGGTGTGGCAGGCCTTCATCCAGCAGTGGAATGATCGTGGCCATTGATGACGACGATGGTGACGATGACACGCATCCTGTGGAAGATGCTTTCTGGCACGAGATAATAATACCATACACGTGCTGTAGTAATAACGACAATCGCGCAAAGGTGTTCGCAGCGAGAGAGTGTGTTGTGTGTGTGTGAAGCGAGCCAGGCACACACAGTTCGCTACAGCAGAGGCATGCACGGAGCAAGGACGATCAAGGGACGCAGTGAGTCGAGGTTGACCAGGCAACTCTGGGGGCTGGGTGGGATGGAGAGAGACGGATCGAGAGTGGTGGGCGGGTTGAATTGGTCCAGCCCGCACTGGCACAGAGCAAAGCCATTGAGCTATTGTGTCTCGGGGACATCCTAATCCGTGAACAAAGGATTCCAGCACATCTCTTTTTATCTCTTTTTTTTTGTCCAACGTCACCATCTGCACATTGGGTTCGTTGCTATCGTTTTTAAAAAAAAAGCCGAGCTCGTTGGTTGCACACAGCGAACATTTTTTTTATGTTGTGGAAACGTGGGGAAATATAGGAATGCATTACAGCATTCCCAGCAAGTATGTACACTTCTTACGCGTACATTCGTCGTCTGGTTGAGGTTGGATTAAATTGATTATTAATGCGGCTCAATGTCCTTGAAAAGGATGGGGAAACCAGAAATACATTTTCCGTATTTTTTACAGTGGCTTATAAAAAAATAAAATCACGATTTATTCTGTAATAGTGCAGAATCGACAATCAGTTACGTTTCCACGAACGCTATACACAAAATGTAGCGCGTGTGTCTCGTTATGCGCACTCATGTACTTGGGGGGTTTGAAGGCTAAATGCAACGCGAAAGGAATCGACAATAAACATTCGCTGCAATTTAAATTCTAAACGAGCGTTTTACACGCGTCACTAAATCAACGCCGCGTACTGCCAACCCAGGCACTCAGATTTACATCTCGCGAGCGCAAGCATCGCACATTTGCACACAGCGATGTTGATAATTATGAAACAGTGAATTGTTTGTTATTGGGGGGGTCGGTGTGAATTTCCACGTTAGTGGTTTGTACGCGAACGCAATCGGCATTGTCGCGATGCTGGAAAGGATATACCAAAAAAAAAAAATCAACACGCACAATGTTTAGCCCAGTTGTAACCTCATCACGTTTGAATGGGGCTAGGAGGGAGATGGGGGGTCACATTGTGCTCGCCTCAATTCCCCAGGGACTTTAATTGTCCAGCGCATTGAAGCACATCAAGGGCAGATATGAATTACAGCGGCACACGGGTTCCCCACCTCTCAGTTCGGACAGCGAAAGATTTCATAGCATCAACCATGTAAACATATACTACCAACGCTCCTTCCCATTGCTGACAAACGCCCATTGCTTTGATTCTATTTTTCTCATACTACGGTCATTATTAGTCGTAGTAGTCTCGCAAGATCACCAAAGAGACGAAGCGATGAAATCGGTCGATGCGCAAGTGCTTTGATGGATTTACTGTACACTGTCAATAACCTCGCAGCATCGTGCGAGGATGCAACGACTTGGAGAGGCCTTCATCCAGCAGTGGACCGACCACGGCAGCCGATGATCATGATGATGACCAGCACTCTAGTGCCCGTTTGATCAGTTGCGACCGGAACGCGGCTATGAATCGTCTGCCAATAAATGAAACAGGGCTGTGGTTAAATCCCCTCTCGCTGGGATGACGCACGGACCCGCACATCACACCCGTGTACAGCAATCATAAAGCCGAACGAGAAAGCGCCTTCATCATCATCATCCTCATCATCCTCCCGCAAGACACCGACACACGATCTCTCTCTCTCGCTCTCATCCTTACTGCCGATAAGCTCCCCTTACCCTTTCTGGCGCTGGTTACGCAGAAGAGGCAAGCCAGCACGATGCCCAGCGCAGCTCGCCGGCACGGACTCATGCTGGAGCAAGAAGGGTCTTGTCACGAATCACCTTCCTTTTAAAAATTTAAACGATTGGAGGAGGGGGAGATAGAGAGAGGGGGGGTTGGTGGTGCAAACACCGTTCTCCCGGAGAAATCACTGGACGATATAATAATACAAAAAATAAGAATGCGCTCCAGTCGCAAGCAACGCCAGCCGCGGCGAATGTCGAGATGCGTCGCGGTGGCGTGAGAGAAGAGCTGTGGCTGGCGTCTTAACGCCGTGGGATTCAGGCATAAGAGAGGAGTCGTGGGGGTGGGGAGGTGGAAGAGCGCGGTCGTGTTGCCTGCCAACCAATAGCAGTGGCTGGGGGGTGGGTGGTTTTATTCACGGAGCTCTCAACACGCGAGCCGACGTCACACAGCGGGCTCCTGTGTGTGTGCGTGGGCTGTGCGGTGGCGTCAGGAGGCAAATGCGAGCGGCCGTTCTCACAACCTCCCCCCCCCCACCCCAACTATAACTCCCCCATGCATTTCGAGAAAGTGATGCAATGCATTCGTGCATTTACGGGACTTTCGTTTCATGATTTTTGGAGGTATTTTTTTTTATGGGACGTTTTTGGGGGGATTTTTTTTTCGTTGTTGTTGCGGGCAGGTCCAGGGGGAGAGACAGGGGCCGAAAGATAAACAAATATAATCCGTAAAAAAATGTTTTTTAACTATAAATCCTTTATATGCGTGGCGGCTAGAGTCATCTCGTCCTCTGGCTTGAGATGGCTGCCACCTATGGGTCAGATAATTGCATGGCAGCATTAAGCAATTGGTAATTAAATATAATATTTTTGTCCTCAAAAGTGTAAAATTTTGGGAAAAAAATTTCACGAACATTCATTGTCACGCACGAGTCTGTGTGGAAAATGTCAGCTCGATTGGATCACGGGAAGTGGGTTAAAAAAACGACCGAAATATTTGCACGGTCCTAAGCAAGCAAGCAAGTGAACTTAATATAAAGGATTTAAAAAAAGCGAATTCCCAGGAGCAAATGCGAGGCGACCAATGGGCTCAAAGTACTGCAGTTTGGCACGAAACTGCAATTAAATTTGAGAAAAGCGTTTTTGGACGATAAGGAAGTGAAACGCAAATTAGTCAGGATTAAACTGCACATGTACGGGGAAAATAAGAAATTGGATTTTTTTCTTCACATTAAATACAAATGCATCGGTAGGACCACCCGCTTGCAAATGTGCGCGTATTATTCACTACTGAACGGTACTTATTATTTGTGGGTAAAAGAGTGGGGGGATAGTGAGGGGAGGGGGGTAAGGAGGATACATGTAACATAAATTAATTAACCACTTAAATTCTAGCTATAAATGTGTTTTTTTTACCATGTATTTAAGTATAAACTCTTTAAGCAAAACACATTTACGGCGGAAAACGAAAACATTAGGCCTACAATGCAATCCTAATGCAGAGTTTACAATCACCGTTACAGTATTACGTTACAATGTCTAACCAATTGGTAATTAGTAGGCACATTTTCATCATCATCTTTTAGTCATGGTCAATCCCACTCCCAGATGGAGAGACCTTTTTTTTTTTAAGCTGAGAAAATGCAAGTAAGCAAGAGAGATTAACGTTCAATGTCCCATGGTCACCTTCCTTATTGAACCTGGAAGAGAGTATCCACCCTGTTGGCTATGTCTCCGTGTTAATGTTTAGCCATGACCATCCTGAAAAAACTGGCTTCTCAAGTCACAATAAGCTCTTCGACATCGTCGTCGTCGTCATCATCAGCCGCGATCAATTTACTTCCATGCGAGGTCTTCCTAAGCCGTCCCTATTCATGCTGAGGATCTTATATTATAATCCCTCCATCTCATTGATGTGTTCCCTCAGGACCCTTCCCGATCTTAAGTTTAAAAAAGGCAATGCATTGTATTTGTCATAATCCAGCGTACAAGTAAGTCCACGTGATCATCACTCGTGTCCGCACATTCAAGAGGCTCATCCGTATAACAATGTAAGTAACCCTACACTCTCAAATCGTATTCGAGTGCGCAAATAGGGCAATTGTTGTGTACGTAAGTAGTTCGGCAGTGTAGTTACCCTGGCAAAAGCCGCTGTGAAGTCAAATCCGCCTTAAAACCCGTCCTGAGCTTAGCGTGAAGTCTCAAGTAGCTCGCTCTCACGACTCGCACGGTGTAGGGAGGCCCCTCATCCAACAGTGGATTCGTAATACTATTTCACATTAGTGAGGTGCATTTCATCCGTAGATCCACAAATTTCGCCTCGTGGTGTGGAAATCAGAAACGAAACAGAAAACCTGCAAAGGGGAAACGGCCAGTACGATGTGGAGGCCAGTTTTAAAGAGGTTGGTTTTCAAGACAGATGTAAATATAGCTTGACCAAGAGAGCGGTACGTGTGCAAACTGTAGTTAGCTTTAGGCTTAAAGGGCTTTTTTTTAGGTCAATGGGATTTTTATCATTGCTCAATCCATTTCGATATGTCCTCTCCTCGCTTTGGCAGTCTATTATTAATTTACGATTGCCTTATTAGATCGACGTCCAATTTTAAACACGCGGAAACGTCACAGCCACTTGGTCTAAATATAGTTTCGTAAATAAGTAAAAACAAATATGACCAGAGAAATGTGATACTGTTTCGGGAGGGCGCGCCCTACCGGATTGTGCGGAAAACCCACAATGACCGGCGTGGTGAAGTATGGTCAAACATCCCCTTCACAACCGACTCGGCATGGGGAGGTCTTCATCCAGCTGTGTATTGACAAAGGTTTCTGGGTGATTTATAATTGTTTTTAATTAGTTAACGCTAAACAAAGATATCAAATTTACACTGTATAATTTGCCTCTGTAGTTATATGTTAGATTATGTAAAGTAGATGTAGTAGGATTTTAGAAATACAAAGTTGAGGGTAAAATACACGAAATGCAATAAACAAACGTATTCAATAATGTACAACCTTATTATAAGTTGAATGGTCTATATAGTCTAAGAACTAATTTCGAATGACCCTCACACACAATAATGATATTGTGTATCAATAACAATGTGTATTGGAATTGATCATTTACAGCCTATATAAATCCACTGCTGGAGACTTACGCTGTGTTAATCATGTAGATATGACCATAATTCACCACCATGGCCAGAGGAGATATCACACACCACAGATGTTAGCCGTGGACGGCAATCGAATTCAGGTCGCCGGATTCATAATGCAGTGCGCTTAATCTCCACAAAAAATAATAATCATATCATCAGCTATTAGAAATCCACTGCTGGATGAAAGCCTCAACAAACGGTCATCTCGCGCGGTTCTGCGATGCAACGATCAGGTGGGAAGCCACTGGAGCTAAGCACATTTAAATCTGGATTGAAAACTCATTTGTTTAGGAAGTGCTTTTTTGTTTTTTGGTGTGTTGTCCTCCGCCCGCACCTCCAATATAGCACGGTTGGCTGCGTGCGGTAGTGCAAGAAGTTCAACACACATGCAACGGGGAAAACGAGTGAATCTCATCGCTCCACATCTTCAGCGAACGTCCTCTCCGGGACGCGTCCCCATTCTCTCGGTCATTATTCGTGACCGCAGGTCATCGTCCCGTCTCATCATGACGTGTCCTGCTCAAGCCCAACTTTTCTGAACATGGCTTGAATGATGAGGCCACTAACCTGCGTATGTTCTCTCATCCACGCGTTCCTCGTCTCTCTCTCTCAATGTAATCGCAAGCGCGCAATGTTCCCAATATCCTCTCGAGAGGGTTGTGTCTATCTTTGTCCGCCTCCCGTGTGTCTGCCGTGGTCCACGTGGAACTGCGGCACTGTATATTTTTTTCCATGCATTGTTCTCTTTTATACTCTTTGGTTCTTTCGGTAAAGTCACGTAGATGAAAAATAAAAAAATATAAAAAAAATTGTTGTTGCGATCGAAACGTCGTGATCTATTATTTTTATTTTATTTATTTTTTATTTTCCATCTACGTGACTTCACCGAAAGAACCAAAGAGTATGAATTCTTGCAGTCACGAAAGCCTCAAATCAAGATATTGCTCTTATGTGTAGGCCCTGCGTTGCTTATTGCATGATGCATGATGTTGGGCCATTCATTTCACTGACGATGCCCCCCTCTGGTCAACGCTGTGGCGTTGCTCCCAGTTAACACACCCGACATTGTCAGACGATATTAATTTCAGGTGCAAGTGTATATGGTCATATTTTGTTTCTATTTTCGATTAGAACGGGTCATTGACGTGCCTGACACAAGCGTGCCATTCTTTGGCTGTCAGTCCGTCATTATTATGGGTAATCCCTTCTAGCCACGTATTGTCAAGATCCCACACTTGTATTTACAATTTTGAATGGTACCATTAACCGGCGTATGTCCCTCTGATGAAGTGTTCTTATTCCCACTAAACGCCATTCACAACGGGGAAAAAACAACGAAGCGAGCCAAATTTCCGACGCGGGGGAATTCTATACCAGAAACCAGTTTCGTAGAAAGTCAAATGTGGAACAAAGCGGCAATAAAAGAACACAAATAAGATAAGCCAGGGCCCCATCTATCCATCCCGCGGCACATCCGAGTCTGTGCACACGTGGATTTTACCCACGCGGCCTCAACCGATTCTGTATTCAAGTTGCGCAACAGTAGGGGGGGGGGGGGTCACAGCTTCATTCACTTTGTGTAATGGATCAGCTAATTAACTGAGACACTTCAATGCGGCTTAAGCCACTGCCAATAATTGTGAAGTACAGTTGATACGGCTGCGACACCGGCGCGCCTTACCTTTTCACTCGGCAGACACGGGGCAAAAGCTTGCTCAATGCTCTTACACAGTCCACATCACTCCCCATTTGTCGACAAGTGTTGGAAACCAAGCGGCCAACTCGCCAGAATTGGGAATGACGTCGCACGTCTGATTGCCTCGAGCTCACAAATAAATGTTTAATTGACATCACAGACAACCAATCAGCAATCGGCGGGACTGGGGGAGGGGCGGGCTACGTTTCCAGCAGAGGATAAATAAGGTAAAGGTTGCAGCCCTGCAAGTGCTCGTTAACGCCACTGCAAGCGCAAGGGCCTCCAGTGGAGGGACCTGTAGAAAACATATTGAACGATGGATGTGCTATGTTGAACTGTGGCGAGATGTTAACTGCCTATCCTGGTATACAGGAGGTCATGGGTTCGATGCCGATCCTGACGCTTGCATATTTGGAGTTTGTATGTCTGTCCCCCCGCGGTCGCGTGGATTCCTCTCCAGGATTTCCCCCTCCACATTTCGAATCAACAACGTGTGTTTTGGAGTATTTGGCTGCTATA